CCGGGTGGCGACGTGGGGAGGGATGAGGGGGGGCACCGTGGGGCAGGGGAGCGGGCGGAGGGGGGGGCAGCAGGGATGGTGCTTTGCTCCTGCGCTTGATGCCAGACAACGTACAAGTGAGCAGACTTGCAGAGAGTCACAGGGGACTTGGGTAGCTCTGAAATCCTGACTTGCCACCGTGTATGGTGGGAGGTGCGGGGGATATTCCTCCGCCTGCATTGGCATAACCCTGGCTCCTCTAAAATCAGCAAATTTTCAGTAGCTGATTGAATAAAGACAGTCTTTTGAGGACTGTTCAGGCTTCTCATTTCACAGAAATAAGATTGCGGTGTTTGCTTTTCTGCCGGGAGCATTTGCTAATGCATTTTCTCTCTCAGCCTGGTCCGAGGCCAGACCGGGACGTGCAGGGTTACGAGGTGATGGAGTTAACCACGTCCTCTCGAACTTTAAAGAGATTTTAGCCCAAATATGGAGGAAGTTTTGAGCCCCTGTTTTTATCCCAAATGCTTCACTTGCATCAGCCCAGCAGCACCAGCTCGTATTTGGAAACCCAGTCCGTAGCCCAGCGTGCAGCTCACTTGGTCCTTCTGCTGGTTTCACTGGGTGGCCTCTGACACTTCGTGAAGGCAAGGCAGCACTTCACCTCTCTGAGCTCCTTAGCATATTAACTTCTTTACTTTAAAATAAACACAAATTAAGGGCCTTGCTCTCTCCCAAGGGCAGCTTTGACATTGTCAGCACAAAGAGCAACGGCCTCCACACCGTAATCCCCCTCCTGTAGTAACCTGCCTTTTCCTTCTCTCCTCAAGTTCATCCATCCCAGGAGCCTGGCTGGCTGGAAGGGACCCTCAACGGGAAGACAGGATTAATCCCCGAGAACTACGTCGAGTTCCTATAGCTTTGGGCGCAAGAAGCACCACTGCTGAGCTTTACATGGTATCCATGGCAGCCGCCGGCGGGAGAGCTGCAGCCCATCTTGCTCTTTGCCGCTCTGCGACACGGGGTGAAGGACTTCTCCGCACCCACGGAGGTGAATGTTTGTGTGGATAATAACGTACGTGTCTCCTCCTGCGGCGCGTGCTGGGGCTGCGGGGGGAGCGGTCCTGGGGAGACGGCTCGATCCTCCAGCCCCGAGCAGTGGCAGGCGGTGCCCAAAGCCCTGTAAGGGATGAGCCTGCAAACTGTGAACCAGCAGGAGAGAGCCGCCGAGCCTGATGCTCCCTGCGGTGGGACTGTTACCGGCTGCACGGGGCATCGGTGGGAGCTGAGGGACCCCAACCCATCAGCCTCCCCGCCGGAGGAAGA